TATCCCGACCGCGCTATAACTTCATAATGTTCGAGTTGTCTTTCTATAAAAGTGCAATCGTGCTAACTTCCGACGATCGTTAACCGACACAGCGATAGCGGGTTAGCTTTCCTCGACAAATCCAGAGCGTATGGAAATCCGTGATTCTGATATCGGTCTTACAAATCTAGGGAGCGCGTTTTCCTAATTCCAGTTTGATAAACTTCCCTGTTAGAAAATTATTGCTATTTGCCGATAATGCGAATATGTACGTTGAAACGACGAAGAGTGTTCTCCGCGCCCAACGGCAAATTGTTCCCGTAAAATGCAATCGCGTTCTTAATTCGAGTAGCTTCAACACAATCGAATTCAGGCTCTCCCTGGGCGATAATTATCCGCTAAATTAAACGATTAAGTGCTCCTCCGTGATCCGTGGTGAAGCGCGTCGGATCAAAGTTGCACGGCTAAAGTTTAGCGCGAGGCGTGTGTTTAATACCGCGCGCGAGCTGCGTCGAATCATATCTTTAGAAACACGAGTGCTCCGGCACAGGTAAATTTCTTGCTGTCAAGTTTCCCCAATTGCTCATCTTTCCACGGTGTTCTTCCTTTAATCTCACGCACGCAATTGCTTGCATGTAATCACAAGGCGTTATAACGAGCACGCTTCATGCGACGATGCTCGTTAGCATTATCATCGTACATCGCCGTTGTTGAAATATCATATTGAAGCGCTGTGTGAATGAAAGGCGAAAGATAACGAGAGATGAGACAAGTCAAAGTAGAAATGAGACCAGTTTAGAAGAACTGTCGGTAATTTTCTTTCTCTTTTTTTCCTCTTATTAAATATATGTAAAGTGAAATGTAACCTAGAAGAAAAGCACCAAAGCTAATTTTTTTCCCAGTGTACGACTATAAACACTATGACTGCAGCTGTGTATTCATAAGAATTAGCTCCCACAGCTGAAAATTAGGTATGGTACTAAAATTTTACTCCATAGTTTTTACTGCCTAGCACGAAAAAAGAATTAGCCCCCAAAGCTAAAAACTAACGGTTTATATAGTTGAATTTTTAGCTGTCCTTTAGCTGATCAATTTTTTCCGTATATAACATAGCCATACATTGATTTCGATGCAAAGAAATAAAAATGAGATATAACCGTGTGCACACACACGCACATACACACACACACACACAATATATCACGCTGTGTGTTTGTTAATTGACATTTATTGTTTTCTATCTTCTAAAACGCGGGATCTTTATTTCTATTTTTTAGTCACGAAAATCATACTAGAAAATTGCAGTTCGCAATCTCTCTAGAGATCGTCTGCTCGTATCGTCGCACTTTATCACTTATATGCAGCGGAAAATGTTTGAAATTGTTTTATCCGCGAAAATGTACCCGGCGCTCTGGCGTACGCATTCAACCCGCTCCCCAACGGAAACCTGTTAACATTTACGAGGAATTAGCGATATTAACTTGCCGAATCCTCTGTGAATCTGCCACAAATCCCATGAGATTGACCAAGATCAATGGGTGAATTGATCGTGAATGTACATATACGAATACCGTAACATCAAGTAAATGGTGTAACAATATAAATATTGTTACAACGTAACCTAAATAATTCGAAATAGAAATAAAATACAAATGAAACTTTCTCTTCTTCGCAACTATTAAATAATAAATAATTATTTTTCCGATACTGTTCAGCCATTACGTTATATGTTATTTTTAATTATTCAAATTATTATTATTAAACAATTATTATTATTATTTTCGCACCAAACCAGGAAACTTGTATAATTGTGCTTTGATAATATGTATATAGTGCGTTTTAACATGATATTTTTAGCCAGTCCTTCTGTCGCAAACACACAAGAGTCGAATGTAACGTTAATGCGATACGTTTCGTTGAGCATCAAGCCGTTTCGCAGTAATCTCCGGTCGTTTTTCAAAAACGTTTCCGCGAGTTTAAGGATAATATGGAGCTGCTGGATTTTTGTAAAATAATACAAAGCTTTGAAAATTACGACTAAGATAATTCAGGGAAACTCGCGCAAAATTGCGAGCACGGCTTAAGCGCGAGAGAAATGTTATTCCGATCAACCACATGCATGCATGCATGCAGTTCTATCCTTTTTACTCTCTCTCTCTCTCTTTCTCTCTTTCTCCCTGTTTAAAAATTTCTTTCATATAACCATTTCTACATCTCTTTATTGTACTGTATGCGCTAAGATACATTTATTTTAGAATACATATACATGAAATAATATTCCATTTCTGAAGGTACAGACATGATTATAAATATGAATCAGCGACAATGGCATTTTTAATCCACGACGATTTTACATTTGAGGATATCTTTTAGTTTGATATTATTCTAGGCAATCCGCTTTTAATTAATAACCAGGTAGATTAAACCTAAACTTTGTCACCTGAACCTACCTGCGCCATGATTATTCGTATCACTATCTTAATTATATACAAAAACAAACAAAGATATAGTGGCCGAACTAGCCATTAAAATCTGCAACAAACGTATTTGAGGATTACCTATACTGTATTTAAACAACTAATGGCCAGAGCGTGTGCGCGCAGTCGATGAAGTCGCAAGAAAGTACTGAAAAAAGTCGTCGCGGCGTTTCCGGGAGGATCAGGGAGCTTAACGTGTTACAGTGAAAACACAGGGAAAGGAAAAAGAATGGCAGAGCCACAGTGGCGAACAATACTGCGGGATGAGAGGTGGAAGACGGCTAATGCGCGTCCACTCTGTTACAGATAAATGGATTAGTTAGTTACGACGCGCGGAACGAAAAGTAAAAGAGCGTCGGCAACGAGAGAGAACGCCGTCAGGAAGGGTTAAGGACTCATGAAAAACGAGAGCACGAAAGGACCGATGATTCGGAGGGATGTGCCGAGAGAGCTCGTTATCGCTTCAATGTGTTCGCTTCCATCTAATGTAACGTTCCATGACCTTTATTTCCCTTCTCTCTCTCCCTGTCATCACAGACCGTCATGCAGCTAATAGACTTACTTCCCTCCCCCCCCCCTCACCACCTCGTATGTGACATAATTATTGAATGGTCCTTTATGCACTTGGTTATCATTTCGCGGACGGTAAAGAGGATATAATGGATATCAATATTGAAATTAGGTCAAAAGTTACATCTGATGTCGAGCACTGAGCCAGAAGCTTTCTAGAAAGAGTCAACAGACCTATGTGAACTTAGCATCTGACTTTAATCAAAAAATTGGTATATGTGCATACGATTACGCTCGGTTTATATTCGTTTGTATCGCTTTTCATTTTACTTACTGTACCTCTACGGGGGTGGAGAAATGGAATATTGAAAATTCGTATAAAGAGTAACACATATACACGCACATTTTCATTTTAACTGTAATTGAATTGCATACACATTTTAGATTTTATTTATTTCTGCTGAACTGTAAGATTTTTTAATCAAAAGGTCATCTTTGTTTTAAATTTACCTTTACCAATAACCTCCGATTTATTTTATTTGAATCCATATTGAGGATTCCGCAATTACATCTTTGTGGGAACACGTAAACGGGTACACACAATTATGAAACAGCACTCGCTTTCAGATTTCGAGAGAATATCTTTAAAAGATAGTATTGAATACTGCGAATTCACTCAACTAAAATCTCTCCCAATGACGACCAGTGAGGCACGATACGTTGGTAATCGCGGGCAGCTTTCATCAAGTTCTTTATAAAGAGCGGTCATTCGTCGGTCAGGACGTTAATCGGCAAAGCTGGTGGTCATCGCTTCTCTCGTGTTTAACCGAAAAATCGCCTCCGGTGCTAGGTCAGGAATGCATCCTGTCGCTTTTTATCACGCCGAAGGACGTCCGTTAGTTTCCGTAAACGACCCCGGGCGTCTTGAGAGCTTCAATACCGAAAGAGAAGATTAATCCCTTTCAATGTACAGCATCTTTTTTTCAGTATTCTCTCCTCTCAAAGGACGGACTAGTTAGCAATAATGGGAAATGAACGATGTATGCTTAGAGTCGTTCTTTTGGATTGTTCGATGAATTGGATGTGCATTCTCGAGACTTTCAAACGCGAGACCTCTTGGAAAATTCTGCCGCGACCTCTGATACACTATTGGTAGCCGGCGGCTGTGTGATCGGTGTCAGTCGACGAATAGGTGTAATTAAAATGAGCTCCATTCAAGGGTGTCATGGGCGTGTTTTGCCACGCCAGCGGTTCTTATAACGCGGATATTTTTAACCGTAAATCTAAACTATAAGTATATGACGGACGATACGGCTTGTATCAGACAACTTAAATATGTTTTACGTTTATATATATATATATGTATGTATGTTGCTGTATGACATGTGTTACACTAACGTAATGTACATTATACATACTCAGTACGTACGCAATATGCGCACAATATGTACACAACATGCACATAATATTTTTGTGACACAGCATTTCTTGAGCCACTCAAATTAAATTGCCATGTGTACGACTCGTGTGTACAAATCTAGAAATGTTTAATTAATGATATTTCTGTTAACAGATTTCGTCAACTTCACTCTTTTTAAATTTAATTAAATAAACCGGATAAACATAATATCCGTATAGTTTTTAATCAAATTGAATGTGAATTTTCTTGAATTAAATTTTATTAATCACATACATACATAATATCTTTTTTTTTAAGAAAATTGAATACCTCCTGATTAAATTTCACCAAATTAAGAAAGGTTTTGTTCAGTTGACGAGAGTAGAAACGAGACATATTTACGAGAATAGCATTAATATTACAGAATATAATTGAAAAAGGAAAAACCATTGGTGACATGTGCAGTTTAACACAAAAGTGATATTAAAAGCGTTCGTGTGCGACAGATTCAGTTTAAATCGGAGCTTACAGTTTATTAGCATAGGTACACGAACTTTGATCGGAAATATTATTAGCGATGGCGTTCGCTGTTCCACTTTAAGGATTAATGCGATCATGGTCCTGCTTACTTTCAGGTGCTATATTCACTCATGACCAAAAGGATAGCAGCACGGAGCTGGCCTTCAAGTACGCCGTTTACAAGATCAACAAGGAGAAAATTATTCTGCCGAAGACCACGCTGGAGTACGATATTCAATACGTGTCGAAAGATGATTCCTTCCACGCTTCTAAGAAAGGTAAGCATTATTAATTCGGCCTTTTAATCGCGCTCGCGATTTATTTCTTTTAATGTATATATTTTCCATATGCGACTTGTATTTTTACGGATAAACTTCTTAATCGTAGTTTCATTTGCATTTTCGTAATCCACGTCGGCGCAAGAACCCACAATTTGTACTGGAACTTACAGCGCGGAAAAGTCCTTCGTGTAATGAAACGATGCCGCGTCGCACACGCCCGTAAGAAATTCTACTAAAGTTAAAAAACGTCTCACGCTCATTAATCTCACGGTTCTCCGCACGTCGGGAATGATTTATTTCGGAAAGTTTGCTACGTTTTCAGTCTGCAGTTACAAACAGTTGCAAAATGTTTAAACAGTGCTAATAGCTTACTTTCGAGACAAAAATTTAATCGTTGCTCTTACATCGATATTGAAAATACACGCATGAGAAACAGCCGCGGATTTAGAATAGATTTTGAATAATGGACCGCGAATGGGCAACGTCTGTGAGAGACGTTACGCTCGCATTAAGTCGAAACAAAGAGCTTGGTTCATCGACTAGAATCATGGTACTCGCGAGGATACTTCGGGGGCATCCTGAATATCCTGAGAGTCCTTTTAGCTGCCGCGTCGTGTAGTGTAAGGCGTTGCCGTAAGCAAAATTTATCGTCTTGAGGGCGTATATAAACCAGCCAAGAATAACAGGCCCGTTTGCCGCGCGTCGTTATTAAAATAGCATACACATTATTATCCTTCCCGGCTGCTATCGGATACACACCATTGGGACATTGTCTGAACATTGCTTCATAACATTGTTAGGAGCTTATTACTTCCCTCGTCGACGTATTGAGAAAATCTAAGTGACGAAATCGAATATTTACTATCGGTATGCTTGCGACAATTGTTCGCTATTCAAAAACATCATTTGCCCCACAAACTGCCCCCAAGAGAATTTCCAAATCCCGAAGAGGAAATAAAAATTCGACTCGAGAAGAATGCAATGTGAATACGTCTGTACGTATGTTAATACACGAATATTCACGTTTTTTTACTATATATCTAGAAGAGAAAAGTTTAAATATACTCTCTCATTTCTTTCCTCTCACAATAATGGCTTATGTTCAAGATTCTCGGTGAAACACAATATGACTCCGAGTAATCCATTAGTCGCGCACGCTCGCGCTGTTTTCGTCGCAGCGTCGAGCTTATAATTAATCCCGTGGGAGAATCAGTCGAGTAGAATTTTCAGGATTTTTTTTTTCACGTTCCTTTCGACGCTTATCCGAATTTCTGTCGTATTCAATTCTGCATAAGATCGCGTCGAAGCTGGCCGGGCTGCTTTATTTCTCGCAAATGAATTTTACGGAATGCTAATCCGACGAATAATCATATTTGAGCGCATGCATTTTGCGCGCTATAACAGCTCGGCAAAGGTGATCAGCTTGCACTCTCCGGTAAATATTGACATAGAAAGTTTACCAATCCTTCTCGTCGTTTTCAATCTTTGTTTTTGTAAATCGCGATATAACCGGATGGTCGATACGATTTTTCGAACGAGTGTCGACGCGACGTCTGACAAAATTTCAGACGCGTTTGACCTTTGAATGAGATATCTGTGCGTTTTTCAGACGACGCATCGACCTTCTTTATTCGTGTACATTAAACCATAAATAGTTGAGTGGACTTTTATAATACTTATCCTGACACATATATACACGTACACACGTACACACATATATACACGTATCATACGAAGTCGAGGAGGTTTTTCTCAGTGCTGTGAATGAGATATTTGGATAGCGCTCGTTTTTGTTGCCCTCGTCTTTCGTACGTATGACGTGCACACTGCGAATTTATGCGATCCGATTCCTCCAAATTCACTCAACGTAACTCGTAACTTATACATGCATTTCCATTTCTATTTTACGTTACGCGTATACTGCCGACGCGATCTTTGTGATTCGTTTCCCGGCAAGATACGTACGCTTATAAGCAACTCTTAACCGAAATATTACTCGAGGCTCATTTTATACGCTCGCGAAATTCACATTGCTAAAATGTAAAGCCGAGACGTGTAACAAAGTTTTGCGATCTCTTAAACGGAAACTTTATTTATATGTACTACGCGCATTACATATAGTACGGGAAAAAATATGCACTATCAAATTCTCCTTGAGGCATTATCGTATGCCTTTCCTAGGCAAGCAACATTTACGTAGTAAATTTTTGTTTGTGAAGCATCTATAAAATATACCGCAAGAAGTAATCTCTGAAAGATGCTCCTATCCTCCCTTTATCTTTAAAACATAAAAAGATATTTACATATTAATCCTTGCAAATACGTGAGCGACTCACTTTTCTCACCTTTCCTCCTTCCTTATTTAGAAACATTTCACTTTATCTCATTTTTAAGAAAAAAAAAGCTTGCTTTTTTTACCTTTTCTTTCCCAAGACTTGCGCCCTTTCAGAGAAATCGATCACAGGATATTATGTCCGACAATTAGCTTCTTTGAAGACAAAACAAAAGATTCCAAATACTCAACGTACATGACCTTCCTGTTCAATTTAACCCGTTCTGCTTGCATATTACAAATGCACCGACATTTTTCATGACATCGTGTGTATAAGTTTATTGACGGCGGTGAATCAAGACAAGCAATATCGACTCCGTGCAATGTTCTAATATACGTATACCACTTTCAACACGATGGTTGCACATGACTGGAGAAACCGTCGTCGATCGCAACGGCATTGTCGAACCTGTACCTCGGAATTGCAACGCGGATCGATCGAACGTACAGATATTGTGAACTGGAGTAGGAAGCCACTTCAAAACCAGTCCGTGTCATCGCTCGTCGCAGTCCGCTCGTCTCGCCATCGAGTGTTCTTTCGCAGTGACTTCTCACAAACCCGTTGGATCATTCCGCGTCAGCACGAAATACTCGGATTTATTATCCCGAGCAGCAGTTACGATGCTTCAATGGCTCTTAACTTTCTGCCGTCCTCGCGACGTAAAAAATGACAACATACTACGAGGAGAGTTCTCCACTGCACCGTAATTTCAGTTATACTTTATACTCGTGGGAGTTTCACATGAAGCCTCCGCGCGTTATCGAAGGCAGAAAGGGCATCGGAGTCGCGATCGAATTGCACTTCGATTCTCACCGAAAGACTGCATCGATTCGCGCAGACGGAGCTGAAACGTTCCGCCTGCCGTTGATGAAACCCGACGGACGAAGATTCGAAAAATTTCGCGAGAACTGACGAAAAATACATCCTTTGGCGATCGGAAACATTGTCGGGAAACGCTCTCGGTTTCTCCGCGGGATCGCCGAGCGAGTCTCGGCATATCGATACATCGCGCGGGAAGTCCGATAACCAGCTCCGGCACGTGCGCTTGTAACCGTAAAAATCCGAAGAACCGTATTCTCCCACAGATAACGCCATTTGCGGAAGCGAGAAGCGGCCGCGCCAGCTTCAGTCTCGCCCGTCGTCATCTTCGCGCCTTTACACCGACCGTTTACACGGCCACATGCTCGGCCCTTTACGCGCGTGCGTTTATGCAAACGATCTCGTGTTAAGGCTACGCGACAAGTTAGCACCGGCCTATGAACCCCGTCCTCGTCGAGCTCTTTACATGCATTTTACACGCCTCTCGCTTCTCTCTCGGTAGTGCTGCCTTACTTTCAGCAGTTGTCGCTTGCCCGAGATTACGTAGACTATCCCGCATAGAAATTTCTCATGATTATCCCATACAGCATAAATGCGGATTATTAGATCGTCCAAAGTTGTCCCAAAATAAGCAGGCACGAGAGAGCAACTCGCCTTTTCACTTTCCTTCGCTCATTTAAAAACATCTCACATTTTCCTCACTTCAAAGGAAAAGCTCGCTTCTCTCGCTTTTGTCTCACTCGATTTAAACATTTTTCTTTATCGGTGCGATCGCGTAATACAAATTTAGTGAGTCACGCTATTCGTATGCCACATTGTCGAACGAACATTTTCCACGTGTGTAGCTCTAGCCGGATTCTTCTCTCGCTTTCAAATAGCCTCAAAGTATGACCTTTGGAATTTCTACGAAGGACAAATCGATACCGCAACTTGCCAGTGTGTACATAAGCCAGCCAAGTTCAACGCAGATTTCACGGCGATCGGGCCCATGCATAAACGCAACATTTCCGAAATTGTCGTCGGACAACGGAACAGAGTTAGCGCTACGTCATGTCACGTGCTCGAGGGTTCCTCTTGTAGAGGTTGCTCCCGATTCCGCTTACAAGCACCGCATCTTCATAACGGAGTGGTGCTCTCTATCTCCTCGACGCGAAGGTTCCTCGGTCATGATTTGACGCACGCTCGCGGTGTGCTCGGAACTCAAGACACTTTAGAATTGTCACTGTCTGGAAATAGCTCGAATTACCGTGAGAAATTACCAGTCGGCGGCGCGTACAAGTTGAATAACTTGGTCGTGCAGATAAATTGAAAAATTCGATGTTTATGGATATTCCCTCGGGTTTGTCAGAGGAAGACGAAAGTCGATCGGAGAATAACGCAAGCGAACTGGAACCGATTGAAAACGGCACAAGCCAGTGGAAAATTAAACGATTGCAACGAGGGCAGCGAACGCGGATGCGCCGGTGAATAAACGAATAAGAAATATTGTTGCGTAACTCCCGTTGTTTCCTTTCGCCGCACCAAAAGACCGCAGTGTCAAGAGACGCGTGTACTAAGAGGACTTAAAATCTATGAAATCTCGGGAAAGGCGATTTTCAGTTGTTTTCTTTTTTTATTATTTCGGTAACTCCAGGAGGAGACTCGCAAATCAGCGTCGCGCGAAGTCCGCTTTATCGGGAGAAGCGCGAAATAAGACGAGCGACATATAAACTAAGCGGACAGGAACGTCCCGCTGGAACATCGTCGCCGCTGTCGAGCGTAAAAAGTCATTTGTCACGCGTAAAGTCTTAGAATCGTCGCGGCAACGCTATTGTCCGCCCTCATCTTTTGTGCATCACAATAAAC